CCAAATGGTTCGGGTAAAACAACAATATTTAATTGTTTAATTGGTATATATAAACAAACATCAGGAACAATAAAAATAGAAAATGATGATGGAAATAATTTTGATACACGAATAAATATGGAAATGTTAAGAAAATCAATGGGTTATTGTCCACAACATGATATACTTTTTGATTTATTAACTATAAAAGAACAAATAGAATTTTATGCAATAGCACGAGGATTTGAAAAAAATAAAGAAAAATTAGCAAATGAAATGCTTCATTTAATTGATCTTGAAAATTCTAAAGATCTTTATTGTAAAACATTATCTGGTGGAATGAAAAGACGTTTATCATTAGCTTGTGCATTTATTGGAGATACAAAAATAATTCTTCTTGATGAAGTAATCTATTTGTGTTTTATTTTGTTTTTTATTAAAATAAATTAAAATATATTTAGCCATCAAGTGGACTTGATCCATCAAATCGTCGTTCATTATGGGATTGGTTACGTTCAATGAAAGAAGGTAAAACACTTTTATTAACAACACATTTTATGGAAGAAAGTGATGCTTTATCCGATCGAATTATGATTATTGCTAATGGAAATATTAAAGCTGATGGAACATCAGCTAAATTAAAAGAAAAATATGGATCAGGTAAAGCAATTTTTCAATATTGATTAAAAATAAATTATTAATTTTAGGTTATAAATTAATTATTAATAAACAGAATAATTCTCATACAGATGATATTAAAAATACATTATGTCATTATTTACCGGAATTAAAAGTCGAAACAGATATATTAGATGGTGATGTTGTTTTTCGTACAAATCAACAACCAAATGAACAATTTGTACAAGCATTATATCATCTTGAAACAATGAAAAAAGAGAATCGAATTAAAGATTATGGTGTACAAAATAGTACAATGGATGATGTTTTTTTAAAAATCACAAGAGATACAAATATTGAAAATGAATCAGAATCAATATCAGCTAATACTGATACATTGGGTTTGTAATTAACTTTTATTTATATTTGTATATACGAAATGTCTGTCGAGGTTGGTCGTATATTTAATATCGTTAAAGAGAAATTTTATTTTTTAGTAATCTTAAAAGACGACATAAAACATTAGAAGTACATCTCGAATGGCCAATAAAATGTTTTATATATTTATTTTTGATCTGATTAAATTAGAATTTGTTTAAAAAACGCTTGTTTTCGACGGTCACTCTAGAACATAAGATCTCTATTTTGAGTTATCATAAGTTAGCTATAAATCTGAGGAAGCTAAAACAACTATAGAAACTCTGATGTCGATCACTAGACTACCTGATTTTCATCCTAGTTACTGTCAAATATGATTTATATGGAAGCATAGCTGTTGCATTCTAGACAGATGGTCTCACAACATTTGCTTTCTTGAGGGTGGGAATGAGGGCGGAGATTGATGTGAGGGTGACGAAGATGAAGAAATCTTAATATAATATCAGCACCTTTCTAATTGCTTTCGAATTACTTGTATGTCTAATTAGAAGCTGTAGCAAAGAAAATGTTACGAGAACAAGAGTGTGATGAAATCGTTTTATATATTTGTCCATGAAAGATTACTATCAACCCTTTGCAGAGATATTCAAATCTCAACAATATGAACAGCTCTTTCAGCGTAACTTTGACATTTTCTATCGTTATTCTTGAAAATATACTTCACTAACCTTTTACCTTACAAAAAAACATCTTTAATTTTACTTTCCCCACTGAATCCTTTATTCATCTTTTTCTCAGAGCAACAATGTCATTATGCATTTAATGATCAACATATTTCTACCGGTATTCCGTATCATTTAAGTCAATATCATGGTTTAATAATAAAATCATTACTTGTACGTTATCGTCGTTGGGCATTAACACTAATTGTTTTATTATTACCAATTTTATACAATCTTTTATCAAATATAACATCACGTAGTCACAATGAAAGTGGAATATTTAAAATGAATTTAAATTCACTTAATCCACAAACTATTTTATATCATACAGATCCAATAATAGAAAAATATTTTCGTGCATCTATTGATGGTGCAGTACTTGAACAAACAACAGAAAATATATTCCAAACCAATCGAGATATTTTACGTAAGTTTACTATCATTAAAACGAGCGAATCTTCGTTTTTTTCGTTATTTTAGAAAAACGAATAGATCGTCCATATACATATACAGATATTTATCTTGCTTTCAATATTCCAAAACCAACTAGAAATAAATATAAAATTGAAACATTGTCATCAAATTTAATATCCGGTTATGAAGTTATTTCATTAGCATCTAATATATTTTATAAATATGCATTAAATGATACAGGTGCATCAATCCAAACGACATTGATCTATAAAAAAATAGGAAATTTTACAACGCAACCATCCATTGAGGATATATTGAATCGCTTAAGTATGATATCATGTATTCTTAAATTAATACCAACAGCATTATTATTTGATATGTATGTAATATTTAAAAAACTAATAATCACAAGTTTCTATTTTATTTTATTTAGATTCATATTTTACATTCTATTCTTCTATGTAACTGTATTTTTAATCAGCGAACGAAAAGATAGCTTTCTATCATTGCTTAATATCAGTGGTTTACAGTAAGTTGACAGAATTTTTCTTGATTTTACGTTGTAATCATTCTGCGCTCTTATACCTCTAGTCAAACTATTGAATTTTTCATTTTAGTCCAGCATCGTATTGGATATTTACTTATCTTTTTGATATAATTATTTCTATTTTATGGTTTTGTTATTTACTTGCTGTTTATTGTATATTTCATGTTGCTTTTAATGGTATACCAAACAAGAAATCTCAAATAGAAAATACAGTCCTATTTGAATTTCTTAGTCCATGGAATTTACGAGTACAATTTTATCCATTAACAATATTAATT